CTCTGGGAAGCAAAGTTCCCTGCCTGGCTGCTGTTCCCTCTTGTTCAGATGAGCACACTGTGATTTGATCATTCTTAATAAATCTGGGCTATTCTTGGACTTATAAATCAATTCATTATTAATGTGCACATTTTAGAACATGGTCACCCTCTGTGACTCCATATTAAAAAACACAACAAATACTCAGCATTTACTAAAACCCTCCCCAAGTGTGCAGCTCACAATTTGGAGCTCTCTCTGCATATTTCTTTCTCTTTCTTTCTTTCTCTTTTTTTTTTCTTGTTAATGACTAACATGCTGCTTCCTTTAGTTTTTAAGCCTATGTGAGCTGACAATAAATCTGGGAGTTCATTATTTAAAAAACTGCAGATTTTAAACATAGCGATGCTTGAAAAGTAAAGAAATGTTGAAATTGTTTGCAAAAGTATAAGACTGCAGGGACCAGAGCATACTTTTTTTAAAAAAAGTATTTTCAGACAAATCATTCTCAGAGATTTTTCAAAACAACCACAAAAAGCCCATCAGTCATGCAAGGCACACCCCTTTGCCTCTATTCCATTTTTATCATACCAATCTCCCTTGCAAAATTGAGGTTGTTCATAAATATTTCCCTTCTAAACTGTGGGAAATTAGTCGTGAGTAACTTGGGCTCTTTGATAAAGAGAGGGTAGGGGACTGCTTATCATCAAAACAATGAGCACAAAAGCGATTCAGTCCTGGGGCCTCTGACTCCGCTCCATGGCCAGCCAAGGCGGGGCTCACTCAGTTCTCAGGCATTCCAGGGCAGGGGCGAAGGGACAGGCAGCACGAGACATGTTCCAGGTTCTTTTTCCCACCCTTCAGAGTCGATAGGTCTCCGATCATTTAGAAAAGGATTTGTTTTGTAAGAACCCAGAGAACGATGTTTACCCATAATAGGGCTTGCTCTCTGTTTAATATAGCCAGATGGACTCTGCTCTCTGCCTGTGGTCACCTCCCCACAGATTTGACCCCATGGAGTGGACACTATTAAAAGATTATCCCATTATTGAGAATTTCCATTGCATCAAATACTCAACATTAGCAACATTCCTCTATGGGGAAAATGATGTAAGAAGAGGGCACGGACTGCGGTGACCGCCGGCAAGTCCCGCTCGTAGGTATGTGGAGATTGCGCAACTCATCTGCTGACTAATGCAGCCGGCAGTGTATGCAAGAAAGCTCTCGGGACGGACGCTTTCCCAGTAGCTCTTGAAGGAAATGCTCAGGTTCATACGAAACCATAGATGGAAATTTTACTCGACTCGGTTGCCTTGACACCAAGGTGGCTATTTTGAAAGATACTGAGGAGTAGGAAGTGTACATATGAGTGTGGTAGATTGATGGAATGACAGAATGGGAATGAAGTCAGGGAGTGTTTATTGTTTACTTTTAAAAAATTATTATTTTTATTATTTAAATTTAATAATAATTTATTATTATTATTATTATTTTCTATTTGAGCAGAGAGAGAAAGAGAGAGAGGGAAAGTGAGAAAGCAAGCGATCAGGTACGGGACTTGAACCATGGTCAGCTGTGTGAGAGTCCAGTACCTTTAACCACCATGCCACCTGCTGGCCCCTTTGTTTATTTTTACAAATGGGGAACAGTGGTTTCCTTTGTTCCTCTCTTTTTTCTCTTTCTTCCCTTACTTTTGGGAGTCAAATGATGCTCATAGGAAGTTTAGAACTGCAGTGGAAGGACGGCAAGTGGTTGAGAATTAGGACATTGAGGTTAAGAAATGTTAAGAAATGTTTGTAACAAGATTATGGTTTAGATAATAGTTTATGTCCCTAATGCTCACGATGTGAAATTTGGTCTTAGTGGGTGATGATGGGCTGTCCGGAAACAGTTCAAATGTTGGGACTTGGTTGTACTGTAAAGGTGTTAAGCGAAAACTTAATCCCTTCATGGTGACCCAGGGTGATGTCTCTGGGTGTGGTAAAGCCATTAGGGCAGAGTCCCCATGACTGAGTTTTGGTGTATAAAAGGAGAGGAAATGAGGCAGGCAGAGCCCACATGGATACGGACCAGAACAAAGAGAAGTTTAATGGACAGCTGCTCTGCTCAAAATCTCGTTTTGCGCCCTCTTGTAGCCTAACCAGAAGTTGGCTCCTGGACCTCAGACTTCCAAACCGTGAACTGAATAAACATCTATTATTTTTTAAAAAGGAATTATTTTATTTATTTAAAAGTTTATTTGTTATTATTATTTTTTAATTTGACCAGAGAGAAAGAAAGAGAGAAAGAGGGAAAGTGAGAAAACAGGCTTCCAGATTGGGACTTGAACCGGAGTTGGACACCTGGGAGTCCAGCACCTTAACCACCACACAACCTGCCAGCCCAAACATCTCTTTAAATATTTATATCTATATAAATCACTCAGTTTCAGATGTCAGCCGTGCAATAATGGACTAAGACAGTGACTTTTTTTGATTGTTTCCAGAAAAGGTGCTTGAAAAAGCAACTGAGAAAGAAGATTCTAGTCAAAGAGAACTGGGAAGACATATTGGAGCCCAAGAATTGGTAAACTTTCATTTATAATTTTACTTGAATATACTTTTAAAGCAATTGAATATATATATATATTTTTTATTTTTAAGAGATTTTTGCCAAAGGGCATGTGTGTTCATTGGACAGAAAGAGAGAAATCATCCCCAGAAGGCATGGCCACGCCACAGTCCCTTCTCCTCCATTCTTCTCTCAGGATCTGGGGCATACACACACATGTGCTCAGTGTGAGTTTTAAGTTGTTGAGTCCAAGGACTCAAACCATGATTGACTACATGGGAATCCAGTGACATAACCATTACGCCATCTGCTGGTCCATACTTGATTAAATTTTAATTATTTTAAAAAGAAAATTACAGGAACCAGCAGTTAGCATAATGGCTGTGTTGCTGAACTCCCATGTAGTCAACTGCGGTTTGAGTCCCAGACCTGATGGCTTAAACTCACGCCGGGCACTTGTGTGTGCATGCCCAAGATGCCGAGAATGGAGGAGAAGGGATCATGGTGTGGCTATCCCCCCCCCGGGGGGGGTGATTTCTCTCTTTCTGTCTCTCTGTTTCTCTCTGTCTTTCTGGTAAGCGCACATGCCCTATAGTAAAAATCTCTCCAAAAAAAAAAAAAAGTAAATTACAAAAGTACTATATGATAAGTGAAAGAAAGTCAAGGGATACAGATTTATCCAAAATAAAAAGGGAAAAATCCTCCTTCTTACTCCTACAGGGGAACACTGCTATGCTTTGTCTATCAGTACTTTCAAAACACTAAACAAGGAGACTTTACAAAGTTCATAACACATTGGAATTAAAAGGCCAGCTGGTTGCAGAGAGGTTAAGGTGTCCAGATTCCACATGGCAAACCTCATGGTTTGGGTACCAGATCTGGCAGCTTGAAAAACATACCAAGCATGTGTGCGTGCCTAAAACCCTGAAAGGAGGGAGAAGTGTAGGAGAAAGGATTATGGTGTGATCATGTCCTGTTGGAGGTGCTTTCTTTCTTTCCCTGTCTGGTGAGTATCCATAACCTCTGGCAAATTGAAAAAGAAAGAACACCAAAACAGTACTTATAGTTTAGGGCTGGCGTGGTGGGTGAGGTGCTGGACTCCCGCATGGTTGACTGCTGTTTGAGTCTCAGACCTGGTGGCTTGCTCTCCCATTTTTCCTTTCTCTCTCTTGTCAAATTAATAATAATAATAATAATAATAATAAATTACTAAAAAGAATATAATTTAATTCTGATGATACAAAAGGTAACACATATACATGGAAAATGGTCTACACCATTGAGATTAAAATGCTGACAGTTGTTATTGTGGGATGGCTGGATTCTGAGTGGTTTTTTCCCATTATGCTTTTTCTATGTTTTCAACAATGAATTTTTCTTACATTTAATTGAAAAGCAAATGTAATAAAAATTGCGGCACACCTGATGAAAAAAGCTTGCATCCCAAGGCTACAGAAATCAAATCCATATGAATTAGCTTTTGCTCCACTCCTGAACTTTAGAATAACGAGTACAAACATCAGGCCCTCTCATTTGATTTGCTTACTTTAGGAATTAGGTTTAAGTTTCCTCATTAAGAAGTGATCTTTATCATCATTGAAAGAGTTGTGAGGAAATGAGACAAAGGGGCCAGTAGGTGGCATAATGGTTGAGGCACTGGACTCCCACATAGTCTACCGTGCTTTGAGTCCTGTACCCTGACACTTAAAACTCACACCTGGTGCATGTCGATATACGTCCATAATCCCAAGATGAGCATAGGGGAGATGGGATTGCAGTGTGGCCATCCCCCAGGAATGGTGGTTTCTCACTTTCTCTTTGTCTCCTGTGAGTGCATACACCCTATAGCAAAAATCTCTCTGAAAGAAAAAACCAAATGAGTTCTCTGGGTTTGGACCTGGTTGGTGGTGATATGGCTAAATGCACCGAGGCCAGGATCGTTGATAAATACAACACCTGCTATGGTGCCTCCCTCCGGAAAACAGTGAAGACAATTGAAATCAGCCAACATGCCAACTTGTTCCTTCTGTAGCAAAACCAAGATGAAGAGACAGGCTGTGGGCCGGGCATCTGTGTGTGTGTACCCAAGATCTTGAGAGGAGAAGGGAGGAGAAGGGATTGTGGCGTGGCCATCCCCCCCAGGGGGTGATTTCTCGCTTTCTGTCTCTCTGTCTCTCTCTTTTTCTGGCGAGCGCACACGCCCTATGGCAAAAACCTCTCCAATAAAAAAAAAGAGAGAGAGAGAGAGACAGGCTGTGGGGATCTAGCACTCTGGTTCCTGCGTGAAACAGCAGCTGTTGGTGCCTGGACCACACCACCACTTCGGCTGTCACAGTAAAGTCTGCCATTGGAAGACTGAAGACGGAAGGAACTGAAAGACTGGTAGAAGCTCCACAGACATTGGGAATATCACTAGCCTACAATAAATGTATGTGACAACAATAAAAAAGGCCATGAGACAAAAATCAGGAGCTCATATTCCTTTATTACGTACATGAAATATAAAAACAAACGAACAAAGCAATATATATATATTTTTTGCAAGTCCACAGGACCTCAGGGAAAAATATGTTCCATATGTGAAGTTAATCGTATGGCACTGCGATTTACATTTTGTATATTCAAGTGCAGAAGAAACTGTATGTATAGTTGGTTATGCCTGGGAACAGAAGGTAGATAATTACGAGAACTTGTATCTGGTGAACCATCACATACACAGTGGCAGAAACTGGGTAACTATGACGACCATCTATTGTTAATAAAGACAAGGAGCAAAAGTGTCTTGACGTTCAGGTTTAAATACTAAACACAAGACTATGACAAACTGTGTGTCTACGATCATTTTTGTAGTGTACACAAGTGCATTGCAAAAAAGTGAGCTTTTTAAAATGTAAAGTCCCTTTCCCCTTTAGCCAAGCATATTTCTACACTTAGGAATTCTTTCTCTTATTTTAAAGTCTCTTCTCATTTAAATTTTTTTTAAACAAATTTTTTAAAGTTTCATCGTCTTGGAATCGAACCTCTAGCCCGAAGCTGAGACTTCATGAGAACGGATGCCCTTTCAGGCGCCATCCTCACGTAGTTTCTCCAAGAATTCAGAGTTAAATACGACTTCCTTGGTAGGGTCGCTTTTGTCCACACGCGGCGGCAGTGCTTCTGTTTCAGTGGGTTTTCTTCCTCGTCCTTTCCTGTCCATCCACAGCGGCCTCCGGGCTCTCACAACACAAGTGGCTGGTAGTAAAGTGCTTTATACAAGGAGCCATTATATACACGTGGAGAGGGTCCCGTAACCCCCCACAGTCCGACGTTCACACACAACACACAAGAGAAGGCTCTTTTTAAGAAACACCTTTCCTGATAATAGAGCTGGGGATTCTTTAACATCTCCTTGGTTACTTTTAGTAGCATCAAATACAAGCGTTACATATCTAAGGCCGGGAGGAGGAGTCCTTGCTAAGGGTACTGTCCTTAATAGATCACTGCTAAATATCATGCCGTTATCAACATACTCGTAATAGGTGTGTCTTAATAGATCACTGCTAAATATGCCGTTATCAACATACTCGTAATAGGTGTGGATCTGAGAATCAGTCCCATAGAAAACAGGTATGAAAAAAAAAAGAAAACAGGTGTCAGCCTAGGGGATTTCATGCCTCTTTAGGAAAAACAAAACAAAACGAAATGAAATGAAAGTGTATGTAAACATGGGCTCAGAAGGGACAGGGTACCCAAGGCCCATGCAGGGGAACATTTCTGTACATTTTGGCACTTGAAATAATTCCAGTTTCATTCTTGAGGTTTCCTTTCCGTTACGTTTGTATTTTGCACGCAGGGAAGTGCTATCATGTGCTACGCACCTGTATTGCTATTTGCATTCTCTTTTTAAAATATCCATGACTTTTCTTCCAAGAGATGGTTTCCAGTGCTGGACAAAACTTTTCATGTTCACGACTAGCTTGCCTGTTCTTACGTCCTCATGTCCTGCTACGAGGTACTCCAAACCTGAAAGAGAAAAAATGAAGGGCTACGTAGTATTATGCTAGATATCTATGGTTCTTGTTATTGTTATTCAGTTTGCTACAGGGCACATGTGTTCACCAAAGGGTGTGTGTGGGGGAAGTGAGAAAGCAAGCCTCCAGCTCCAGGACTCAAACTGGGGCTGAGCATGTGGGAGTCCAGCCTCTTAACCACCATGCCACCTGCTGGCCCTGGTTCTTGGTTTCATATATATTCATGGCTGAAATAGGGAGCAGTAGATAATAATAGCTGACATTTAATTTTTTTTTAACATTTATTTATTCTATTGATCTATTGATTTGTTGTGATTTTCAGGCTGCCGAGTCTGGGACTTGAACCATGGTCAGCCATGTGGGAGTCCAATGCCTCAACCATCATGCCACCTGACAGCCCCAATAGCTGACATTTAATAAACGTTTAGTATGTGCTAAGTGTTTACATGTAGTATTTCTTTTCATCTTGAAAATAACCCTGAGAAGCAGATAGTATTTTTCTTTTTGTTTTACAAATGAGGAACCTGAGGTTCCACAGATTAAGAAATGTGTTTGGTGTCCCCCAGAATGTAGCAGAATTCTGACTGAAACTTGAGCCTGTCTGATACTAAAACTTACTTTATACTCTATCACCCTCTATGGTAAAAAAATGAGAATTCTAGTCTTTTCATATATGACAGTGCTTCAAAAAATTTGTGAAAATGCGATTAAAGTAGGAGTTTATTTTGGTGCAAAAGTCCTTGAAAGTCATGCATGGTGGGACCAGCAGTTGGCACAATGGCAATGTCGTTGGACTCCCATGTAGTCGACTGCGGTTTGAGTCCCGGACCCGGTGGCTTAAACTCAGGCTGGGTGCGTGTGCATGCGTGCCCAAGACCCCTAGAGGAGAATGGAGGAGAAGAGATTGCGGTGTGGTTGTTCCCCCTGGAGGGTGATTTCTCGCTTTCTGTCTCTCTGTCTCTCTCTGTCTTTCTGGCGAGTGCATGTGCCCTATAGCAAAAACCTCTTCAAAAAAAAAAAAAAAAAAGAAAGAAAGAAAGAAAAAGAAGAAGAAAGTCATGCATGTTTTTTTCCATAATATGCTTTTCCATAAACTTTTTGAGGACCCCTCATACTGCTAGGATTTCTTGGAGACACTGTCGCTATAGCAAGGAGGACAATAAGGAAGATACATAATAAGGAGGATTTTATAGATTTTTATTAGAGAAAACATTAGAAGAGAGCTATGATTAAATAAAATAACACATATTCCCTATATAAAGTTGGCATTTTTTGGCTTAGGATTTTTGGCATAGGATGTTAGCTTGTCATACATTATAACAACAAGAAAAGGGTGAGACTTGACTGGATTTAGTCCTGACCTTAAAATTCAAAATTCTTTTCAGGCCACAAAAAAGAAATTTGGGCCAACAAACACACACACACACACACAATGAAAAAATGGTCTCAGTCCCTAACATTGATAAAAGGAAATATGACAATCTCAGTAAATGCTTATAATAATATTGACTTTGATATTGAGAAAGTTTCTTAAAGATCTGATCAGCCAGAGGCCAGCAGGTGGCGTGGTGGCTAAAACTCTGGATTCTCACATGGTTGATCACGATTTGAGCCCTGGACTAGCAGACTTAGAAATCACACCAGGCCGATGTGCATGTGTGCCCAAAATCCTGAGAAGAGAACGGAGGAAGAGACTGGTATAGCCATCCTCCCTTGGCGGTGATTTCTCACTTTCCCTCTCTCTGTCTCTCTCTGGTGAGTCCATGTGCCCTATGGCAAAAACAAAACAAAACAAAAACAAAACCAAAAAAACCAAAAAAAAAAAAAAAAAGATGGAACTATAAATGATTTTATAAACAAATAATGATGTTTGTAAAATAAACTTTCCAATAAAGACACGTATACTTTAAAAATCAAATTAAGTGGACACTAGATGCTAAAATTCAATTGAAAAGGCCCGTAGGTGGTGTGGAGGTTAAGGCAGCTGGATCGCACATGGCTGACTGTGGCATTTGAGCCCCGGACCTGGGTGACTTGAAAATCACACCTGGCTCATGTGCATGTGTGCCCAAGATCCTGAGAGAATGGAGGTGAAGGAAAGAGGGTAAGTGTCCTGCAGATTATCTGACCTTCTAAGTTTATCTGGTGGTTCCTTGTGGTGATGTTTAACTTTTTCCTCTATTTTCTATATAGCCTGTAAATTCTGAAGAAAAGCTTGATTGGGGGCTAATAAGCCATAAAAGAGGAAACTGCTAGAATAAAAGACAATCAAAGGACTGAAAAATTAGATAACTACATGTGATCCTAGATTAAATATTGGCAAACACAAACCAGCTCTAAAAAACTTTGGGATCAGTAGGGAAGTAGGAATGTGGTCTCTGTGTTAGAGAATATGAAAGTGAAATGGGGGACCAGCAGTTAGTGTAATGGCTATGTCGCTGGACTCCCACGTAGTTGACCACGGTTCGAGTCCCGGACCCGGTGGCTTAAACTCACGCTGGGTGTGTGTACGTGCGTGCCCAAGATCCCGAGATGAGAATGGAGGAGAAGGGATTGCGGCGTGGCCATCCCCCCTGGGGGGTGATTTCTCGCTTTCTGTCTCTCTCTGTCTGTCTGGCGAGCACACGTGACCTATAGCAAAAACCTCTCCAAAAAAAAAAAGAAGAAGAAAAAAAAGAAAGTGGAAGGTACATATTATTCACTGAATAAAGCCGATTACAGAATAGAGCATATGCTATCATTTCATTTTGGTTAAAAAATACTATATCACATGTAGAGAAAGATTTAGAAGAATCTGTGCTAAGATATTAATAAAGGTCACTTAGGGAGTGTAGAAATATAAAATTTAAACACTCCCCTTAAATTTCTATAATGTACACATATTTTATTGCTTCAATAATAAAAAATATTAATTTAATATTAAAGATAATATTCTTTAAATATTAAAGAAACTGATCTTAAACTTAAAAAATAGCCATCCTTGGGACCAGCAGTTAGTGTAATGGCTATGTCGCTGGACTCCCATGTAGTCGACTGCGGTTCGAGTCCTGGACCCGGTGGCTTAAACTCATGCTGGGCACATGTGCATGTGTGCCCAAGATCCTGAGAGGAGAATGGAGGAGAAGGGATTGCAGCATGGCCATCCCCCCCCACCAGGGGGGTGATTTCTCTCTTTCTGTCTCTCTGTCTCTCTCTACCTTTCTGGTGAGCACACACGCCCTATAGCAAAAACCTCTCCAAAAAAAAAAAAGAAAAAAAAGCCATCCTGGTGTTAATTGATGACATCACAACAGCACATATAAAATGGATTATAAAGTATATAAATTCTTTAAAGGGTAATCTTAGCTTTTTCATGAAAAAGAATCTTGGTATTTAATTAACAAATGAGTTAAAAATATAATAGTACTGGGGCCAGCAGGTGGTGTGGTGGACTCCCACATGGCTGACCGTGGTCTGAGTCTTGGACCTGGCAGCTAGTGTTCTCACTTTCCATCTCTCTCTTTCTGGTGAGTGCACATGTCCTACAGCAAATTGAAAAGAAAGAAAGAAAGAAAGAAAGAAAGAAAGAAAGAAAGAAAGAAAGAAAGAAAGAATTCTTTATAAATATAAAATAGTCTTGACATTGTAAAACCTCTAAATTAAGGAAATCCTCATTAAAAATACAAGTAACAGCTTTTAAGAACTTTTAATCTTAAGTCTAGTATTTTATTTATTTATTTATTTAGAGATTTTTGCTATAGGGCACATGCACTCACTGGAGAGACAGGGAGAGATAGGAAGACAGAAAGCAAGATATCACTCCCCGGGGGGCTGGTCACGCTGCTTTTCCTCCATTCTCCTTTTGGGATCTTGGGCACACACACACACATGCGCCTGGCATGAGTTTCAAGCCTCTGGGTCTGGGCCTTGAACCATGGTCGGCTACATGGAAGTCCAGCAGTGTAACCATTATGGTATCTGCTGATCCCAAGTCTAGGATTTTAAATGAGTTTACTTTGAAACTGTAAATAAGACAAATACTAGAAACATTTACCATTAAAGTACAGATATAAATTAAAATAATAAAAAGATATAACAAACCCATAAATTATAGAACATCATACTAAAACAGCATGCACGACAATGTTAACTTTTACCTCTCTTATTAACATTTATATTTTACTTTTCATATCTCTATGCTTTTAATATCTACATGTTTGAGGGCACAACGTTTATATTATACTCATAGAAAAAGGAAAATATGACGGTAGTGCTAGCCTTGGTATTTTAAAATGGGTGATTGATGAATAAATGAATGTATGCGTGAATTGAGAATGAATGAATTTTCAGGGATACATTAGCTAATCAGATGGCTTCTTTCAAAAGTAGCAAAGAAAGCAAGTTGGCATGGAAGGTTTCAGAATTTTCTTATCAGCTTTCGTTAGCCTTAGCTATTGAACTTGTAAAAAAAAGGAAAACAAAGTAAAATGAAAGAGAAAAGTCTGGTTTTACTTTGGCAGGTTCCAGTCTTTTCTTCAAAGCAAGTAAACATGTTTTCAAGAATTCTTTGAATAATTGCACTTATGTTTTCAATTGTGATGAACTCAGTTGATTCTTTGAATGTTTGGCAGAAACCTGATAAGGAAGTATAGTTCACTTCCTGGAGGGTGGCTCAGATGGTCGCAACTTTTGTTTTGAATGTCCTTAAAAAACTGGGCAGGGTTTTTCTTTCTTTTGCTAAGATAGTAAAAAAGTGCTTATCAAAAGAGTCTCTAAGCACAGATTATTAGAAAAGAAAGCTGAAATGAATAATTTCCTTTATTCAAACTCCATGCTTCTTATTATGTCAGTTTGTTCTTTGGAACTACATTTATTTGTAGTTTATGATGTAAAATGTCTTCTTTTTCCTATTCCTTATTAAAATTGAAAGCAATTTAAATAGAGTATTGAAGACATGGAGAAAGCATATAAGAAATTGGTCATCATTTAGGAAAAAAAATCACATGTTTAGTTGGTACATATGTATAAATATTTGGTTTTGCCATAGGGCATATGAGCTTGTCAGAGAGACAGAGAGAGGGAAAGTGAGAAATCGCCCCCAAGGGGGATGGCCACGCTGCAATCCCTTCTTCTCTGTTCTCTTCTCAGTATTTTGAACACACATGCATATGTGCCTGGCGTGATTTTCAAGCTACTGGGTCTGGGACTTGAACTGTGGTTGGCCATGTGAGAATCTAGTGCTTTAACCACCACACCACTGCTGGCCCCAGAGTGAGGGGATATTTTATGACTAGATTACTCTCTCTTTCAGTAATCTGTTTACCTCTCTCAGTTATCTGTTTCTCTCAAATTTATAATAAAAGACTTATTAACACAACTGTGGCTTCCTGGACTTTTATGGAGGAATAAATTAGCTCCAGAACATAAATCATACACCTGTTTCAACTGTGCCACTGTGACACAGATAATGACTACACACGAATGGGGAAACAGAAAGGATTTTTTGGAATCCTTATTAGTTTTACTAGAACCTATTATGTAAGTACTATGTTACTGTTATCTAGGTCTTAGGGGTAGACACTGAAATTACTGTAATAAATTACCTACATCCTTTCCTCAAATGTAATGAGGGAGATAGAAAAATAAGCAGCTTTTGACAGTAAGAAGAGTGTACTTGTGCACAGGCAAGGACCCCTGGGCTTGCTGGCTTGTCTGCACCCCTGCCACCACATTAAGGTGCACATCAAATCTCTCCCCTTTCCAACTTTCTCTGGAAATCTATATTTCTTTTGTTCTGTATATTTCTGCTGTTACTAATTTGAAGCCAGAATGATCATTTAATGAGAAGCAAGATGTTGAGAGCTTGAAAGTTGTTCTCTATCCAGGAGAAACAGATGCTTCTCATGCAATAGGAAGGATGAATTCAATATGATTTGCACAGATGGAATTTGCATTTGAACTTCCTTTGGGAACAGGTTCTACTGTAATAGGACCTAGCTTGCAGATAAAGTTAGGGGGCAGATAAATTCATGAAAGTGCTTTCTATGCAGCTGGCACCTGGAACCAATCTGAGGCTTGTCTTTTAGGACACAGAGTATTATATGGCTGGATTTTAGAGTATTTTATAGCGCGCATGGAAGAAAAATGATTTTCTGATGTCAGTTCAAAGAATTCCATTCGGATTTTCCCCAGAATTCAGCTGGTGAAAAGGAGAGATGCTCTTGCCGAGACAATTCAGGTTGTGGATCAGAGAATGTAAGACAAATGGCAGATCTGCGAGCAAGATAGGAATTACAATAGGAAAGTCTAATGCTCACCAGGATTGAGGATTGGACAAGTGCAGCCTCTGTTCGTCCACGATTCTGGATATAAGGTCCTCTTTCCTCGTAAAATCTTCAATTTGGTAGATTTTAAGACTTTTTTAATCTTCACGTTGACTTCAGCGTGAGACCCTTTATCATGAGCCGACAAAATCTTTATTTTTAGCACTGCAATAACACAGTTCCAAAAGTCAAAGTGCATAGAATTTCATAGTCTCTGTTGCAGTCTGAACAACTTAAAATGGCACTTCAGAGTATGGCAAAGGGAATGCATGATAATAACAATGTGGGACTTAGCCTTGAGCATCATTAGGCTCGTTCATCTTTGCACTGGTTTCATCTCACTCATCTACTGGGTCGTTGGGAAAGTCCTGACACAGTTTCGCATAGACACAGAGAAATATGCCATGAATTTCCTGACAGCCTCATATATTAGCTATCTCTTTCCTGGGCCATTTCAGCTGCGACCTCTTCCCATATCTATGCTAAGAGGATATGGATCATTTGCCTACTGCAGATATAATCTTAAATACATTCAGCTATCAAATCTGTAGAGAAAGAAGATACATAGGAAGTAGAATGGCTATTCTGGTTATTATTTAGATCCTGACTATATTATCCTATTCGAGATGAGTGCTATGACAGAGAACAAAATGATACTACTGCCAGATACATTTTGCATATTCTAAAGAAATGACATAATACTGTTGACGACTTAATATTCTTTTCCTGGTGTAAGATGGGGGCTGACCATGGTTAGGGAAGCTGTCCCTCTACAAAGGCAGAGTTCTGTTCTTCTATACAGCTCCTGATTCTGTGATGTCCTCACATCTATGAAATGGATATGGCTGGGGATTAACTGGGATGGGGAAGACTACAGACCTAAGGAACAGTGGGATGCAATGCTCTATTATTACAGGAGCTCTTGGGGCCAGCAGATGGTGTGGTGGTTAAGGTGTTGGACTCCCACATGGCTGACCATAGTTCGAGTCCCAGACCTGGCCTGAAAATCAAGCTGAGCGCATGTGTATGCCCAAATCTCAGAAGGAGAATGGAGGAGAAGGGATATCAGCATGGCCATCACTCCTGCAGGGGGTGATTTCTCATTCTGTCTCTCTCTGTCTTTCTCGGGTGAGCACACGTGCCCCATGGCAAAAACCTGGAGATCGGTGTATAATGAGAGAATCCTACCCTGTCTGTTTCCATAACCTGAGAATAGAGTTACCTGGAGATCGGTGTATAATGAGAGAATCTTACCCTGTCTGTTTCCATAACCTGAGAATAGAGTTCATAATTCATGTCAGACAGCTATCTCTGTAGAATCATCAGATTTTAGACTTAAGAGCTCATCTAGTCTCATTTTATATATGAAGAAGCAAGTTTTGAGATGCTAAGTGAAGGCTCAAGTTGGCATGATTGGTTGATCAGAGGTGAATCCAGCTAGAGATAAACGCATGAAGAAGTGTCTGACTAAGACTCAGTAAAGTTTCACTATGATTATCCCGCTGGACTGTGAGCTCAGAGAGGGCAGGCACCTTGTTTATTCACTCCGGTCACTCAGTAAATATTTTTGCTAACGGAACAAACAAATGCATCAAGTATTTTTCCTATTAAGCCAGAGAATGAGGTAGGAGAAGCCAATTTTTTTCCAAGTCTGTTGGTGTACTGCACTTAATAAGGTCAAGGTGTGTCATTACACCATTAAGAATATGGGCAAGTTTTCTCTTTTTTATGTATATAACTGACATAATTGTACATATTATGTATTTATGGAGTGCAGTACTTCTTTGTTGTATGAATACAATGTGTTATGATCAAATCTGGGTAATTTGTATATCTGTCACTGCAAACATTTGTCATTCCTTTGTGATGCGGGCATGTAAACTTCTTTGAGCTATCTTGAAATATATGAGAAATGATTGTTAACTATTGTCACACTATTTTGCTGTAGAACACCAGAGCATATTCCTCCTAATTATAATTTGTATCCATTACCTAACATCTCCCTATTCTCTCTTCTGCAAGTTCTCTTAAATAGAAAATTATTATAGTTGTAATATGCTTTTTCCCTCCCAGGTTTTTGCCATAGGGTATTGCTGGAGAGATATAGAGAGGGCAAG